TGCACTCTCAATGGGACTTCTCAAATGAAGAGAATGCAGAAATGACATTCAAAGATTTAAAGGAGAATATACATGCAGACAGATCCTTTTCATAGCCTTGTGATGGAACAGTGTATGTTGAGCATGTGCGGTGTACACACACACACACACACACACACACACACAGCCATGAGTGCATAGGTAGGCCTGGAGAGAATGTTGGGTTCCTGACTGATGACTCTCTGCTTTATTTCCTTGGGACAGAGTCTATTCCTGAACCTGGACCTAACCTGGTGGACAGCAAACCTTGGCAATCCTCTGTCTTGGCTGCCAGCAGCACTTAAGAGTTATGGGCATTCATGACTATTCGCAGCTGTTTTGCCTACATGCTTGGGATTTGAACTCATGCTTGTACAGCAAGCACTCTCGCCTGCTGTGGCATCTTCCTAGTCCCTTGGGTAAAGTCTTAATGAAATTCTTTTAAAAGTTTTCTAGATGTCTAGAAATAGGAAGTAAAGCAAGAGGGCGTGGTGGTGGAGGGACAAGAGAACTCTCAAATGCTGAGAGTATGGGGACTGGGTCAGAGATAGATGCCCATAGAACACAAGGTCACACAAGAAGTCCAGGCCTCGGGGTTGGATGGTTCCTCACTGGTGAGAAGGAAGGTGCGCTTTGACTACTGGTAGTAGGAGATGTAACTAACTTCACTAAGACACTTCCCAGATAAGCCTCAGAACACACTCGTAAACACTTAGGAAATGAAACTCAGTAAAAGTCAGTTTTCTCCACCAGCATCCAATGAGACATGGCCGCAACTGTAAAGTCAGATGACACATTCTCAGTGAACTTTAGTTAAAGTGAGGAAACTCCCTGGGGTTAGAGGAAGGGCCTTTCTCCTGTGAATAAGTGATGGATAATTTCAATTTGCATATTCCTATTTCATCCATTCAAAGTAGTTTTGCTCCCTTATTCTAAGATGCAGTAGGAGATGACCCTATAAACACAACCGAGAGAAAATAGACAACGTCTCTGATTGGTGTAGCATAAATAACATTTAATAAATGCAGACAGTATTTAGCTACCAAGATTTGGCCCTCTGGGAATTCCCAGCTAGTGTTGTAAGCACAGGAACCAATGAGAACCAAAGACATTTGAGGCATTCATTTTGTTCTGGGTACCAACTTCAGATGAGGTCACTGCCTTGCTACACTGGTGATTGGAAATGAAGAGAAACAGGATGCTCTTTGATTGAACACTGTGGTAAAGATGAGACACTTCGACTAGACTGCTCTTTTCCCACCCAAACCCTCCCTCTCTACACTTACTCTGAATTTCCATGCTAATTAAAATTATGAACTCTACCCTGTGGGAAAATGAAGGACAGATGCTTAGGCTAGCTGCTAGGGAATATTATGCATAAGTAGATATAGCTTGTGACAAGATGATGTTAAAATATGTTTGAAACAGTAAATAGCACACTTAGCATCGACAGGGCTATAAACACACACACCACACACACACACACACACACACGTGCACCCACGCACACATGCACGCACACATAGTCCACATGCCATCATTGAAACATACCAGCCCTGTAATTGTTTCTGGGATCCCTGCAAACTGATGCTAGGTCTTTGGTTTTTGAGACAGGATTTCTCTGTATAGCCTTTGCTGTCCTGGGACTTGCTCCACAGACCAGGCTGGCTTTGAACTCACAGAGATCTGCCTGCTTCTTCTTCCCAAGAGCTGGTATTAAAGGCATGCATAACCATTGCCTGGCTAGGAAACGAATTCTTAAAAGGAAATGTCTATACATTTAAAAATGCTAACTGAGACATTGGTTCTAACAGTACAAACAAGAAGTTAACCGAATGTCCCATAGTAGAATCAAGGATCTATAAATGATAGCCCATGTGATATATTAGGCATCTATTAAAGTCATGGAAAGACTTGAAAAACAAGATGATTTTGGGGGTTGGGGAGAGAAAATAGTACAAGGGTGCAAAATCAAATACTTGAGCCAAAAGCAAGGACTTGAGAGATAATTTTGAAAGATGATATAATCTGAATTTAAATTTAACAATATTATCAGGCTTTCTTTTCTAAAGAGTTACCTTTGTTGGTGCCTTGATTCACGAATTCAGCAATTCAGATCAACTTCGTCAATAATCATGGGGCTCATGTTTAATGAACTTGTTTAGTATTCTGAGGCAATTTCAGCAACTAACTGAGGTATGTCAGGAGGCATGGAGTCACTGTACTGGGTATATAGGTATTGCTATTTTAGGTTTTCATTTTGTTGCTTATTTTTCAACATAAACTTATAAAAGTGATCAGTATTGGTGGTGAGATCTGGCAGGAACTTGGCAATCTGTGGCTTTCTGGCTTGGTGTTGACCTTGGTGAAAGTCCTCGGGCTTCCTTCTTCATTGAGGTCCAAACAAAACTGCCCATCTCCTCATTCTAAAACGGCAAAGCCACAAGCCGCAGGCTGCAGCCATTGCTTCAGTTTGTTTCCTATTGATAAGTGGCACAAGGTCTTATTCAGGCATGGAAGTGGAAACCAGACACAGTTTAGAATTAAAGAAACAGGGACAGAGAGGAACATGGCAGAAATTCGCCACACAGAAACTGGCTCGTTCTTCTCAAGTCTGGTGTTTTCTTTTTTTTTAATATTTTTTATTAATTTATTTTTTACATTCCAATCCCAGTTCCCCCTTCCTCCTCTCCTCCTGCTCCCTCTACTCTCCCACCACCACTTCCCATCTGCTCCTCAGAGATGGTGAGACCTCCACTAGGAAGTCTACTAAGTCTGTCCCATCATCTTGTTGAGGCAGGACCAAGGGGCAACCCTATGCCCCACACCCCTGTGTCTAAGCCGAGCAAGGTATCTCTCCATATAGAATGGGGCTCCACTAAGTCAGTTTGTACACTAGAGTTAGATCTTGGACCCACTGCCAGTGACTTCATATTTTGTCCCAGTCGCACCATTGTAACCTATATTAAAGGAGTCTAGTCTGGTCTTAAGCTGGTTCCCCCTGGATGTGATGGTGATCTGGCTGTGATGTCTATCATCCCATTAATTGCCAGGGTTGATTTGTCTGATCTGCCTGGCCAGGCAGGTGTCCCCTTCCTCCATCGCCACTCCATGTGTGTCCCTCCCCAAGCACAGCTTCATGCTGGGTCGAAGAGGATGACCTTCCTGAAATAGAAGAGGACTGGTCTTTGGTCAAGGGTACACGAGTAGCTGTGCTCTCGGGCTAGAACCTGCAAACAAGCTCTCAAGTTGGGTATATTCTATATGGCTTCATTGGAACACTGGACATCAAGTCCATCCACAGATAAGCCCAGGCTGGGTATGGACATATTTATAACTGGAAAAGAGTGGTGCACAAAGGTTATTTGGGCAGAACAGAAGCCCGTATTGCTGGTTCAGTGGCAGGTATGAAAGCCATTTATAAAGTTTACAGCAGGCATTGGTCTGAACAGGACAGCCACTTTCCAGCCACTCCTTGCATAAATTCAGTGTGTATACACTGCTGGTGTCTAGTAAGTGCATGCAGAGGAGTGGGTTGTGAAGGCACACTGGCTTGAGGGCACTCAGAGCTGCCTTAAAGGCTTGATTCTGCTACTCATTAGGTATGGGCTATGGAGAAGATGCCCCCTGAGCCTCTGTTTTATCCCTTGAGCAAACAACAAAAAGATGGGTATGGTTTGTCCAGACCCTTAACTGACTCAGCAGATCAAAAATTCCATGGTGTTTATACTGTGGAGAAAGAAAAACGGTGACTCATAATGTATCCAATGCTATTTAGTATTTAAAAGGAGAAACATTAAGGGTAAGGGAGGGTCATTGGGGTGATACCATGAATGAAATGGACACACATGCTACCTTGCCTGAAACAGGTGACATTTAAGCAGAGAACAGAAGTCGATGAGAAACAAACCTTTACATGAGAAAAGAATTTCTACATAGGGAGCAGCAGAGAGAAAGCACTGGAACTGTTAGCGTGTTTGGCATGTCTGAGGAACACAAGTTTAGAGAGCATTCTGTGGGAAAGGGAGAAAGTGCTGGAACAGGGGATGGGCAAGGCAGCTGGGGCTCAAACTAAGAGAGAAGAAACAGACTACAAGGGAAATGCTACTACGAAATGAGAGCTGTCAGCTAGCTTCTGCGGTGTAACAAACAATCCTGAGACTTGATGGCTTCAAATCACTAACCCATAGTATTCTTTGGAGTTCTATGAATGAAGTGTGGAGTTTCTTTTCCTTTGGGTTTCCTAAGCTGGTATGGGCTGCCCCAGGCAGGCTGTAAGCAACTGAAAAGCAATATTTGACTTGACGACCTAGAGACAGAGGCCCAGAAATCTGTGCTATTGGCTGGTTTGGAGCTGCCATCCCAGGAGAAGGAACAGCGACATATATACATCTCCACCCTCACCTTCTTCATGCTTAATAAATGTCTCTCTATCATATCACAGAGGACTCTTCTACATCTTGGTGACTATAAACTTTGAGTTTCAGACTGCACTATTCAGGATTCTCATATGGGTTAATGAAGCATAAATGGCATGGTCCATAGGAGCATATTAACTAATTTAAAAGTCATCTCCATCTCCCCTTGCTGGGAGACCATGGTGTAAGTGGAGAAGGTGAGTGCTCTCAAGTGACTGATGATCCCAGGAACCATCCCTTGAAGACAGAGATAACCATCAGTAAGTAACAGGAATTAATGTAATGAAGGTAAAATTACACAACAGTCACTACTTTTCTTCTCTTTCTTTCTCTCACAGAAAATATGATGCTGGCATGCTTATCCAGTGAGACAACTCGGCCCACAAAGCACAAAAACTAAACCTAAACTCAGAGAAGAATCGAGAATGGTGTTTTCCTGGCGTCTACAAGAAGCGCTTTATTTTTCCTCTAGATTTCTTTTCTAAAAAAAATGAAAACAAACAAAAACAAAACAGAACAAAAATAACTGAGATGAACATTCACAATATACAATTCAGGCGATCATAATCAAGCATGTTCTTTTATTAAGCATAAAATGGGGAAAACCAAGGGAGGCTGAAGCTAGATGGTAATTTGGGAGCACTGAGAGGCCATGGCATTCATTACGGAGGTCGTTCTTGGAAGCGTGAGTGAAGAATGAAGGGAGCTTCTTGCTTCCCACCTCAAGAGTATCCCATGTATCTTAAGGATGCCTTGCTTCCTTCTTTGCCCATCTGTGTGTCTAGGGAATGATTCTCAGGATGTGTTTGGTATACTCTATAAAGAATTGCTTGCACAGCTTTGGCAAGGAAGACAGCGAGTGGCGCTCTTGGAACCCACCAGCTCTGCACACCGGCTCTTCTCCCCTCTGCTGGCACCATCACATCGGTTCTGTTGGGACATGGTACTGAGTTTCTCTCAAAGTTACCCAGCCTTATCAGACTTGGTAGGGAAGTTTGAAACATTGGCCTCCAGGACTGAACTCAGCCTGGAAAGGTGGCAGTGGTGGCTGTGGTGGTACTTGGGTGAGTCAAGGGGACATTAGGCTATTCCAAAGGTAATACAGAATCACTTGTGCTTCTACAATGAGAAAAGGAACCTATATGTTAACCATGCTTCCAGTTTCAAGGAGGCCACCACCAGAAAAGCAAGCAGACCCTGTCCTACAAAAGGGGCTTTGTCCCTTGAAAGTCCCTACTTCCCAATGACACTCAACGTTTTCCCATTGATTAAGCTGCTCTTTTACTCTCATGGCTCTGCACTGAAGCGTTAGGGGCATCCCAGGGTGATGGGGCTGGCAGTAATGAGGGTCAGAGCATGGGTGGGGATTTGCCTAAAACTATGGGGCTCTGATTAGCTGGATGGACTCCCAAGTCGGTCCTGGATGAGCCTCTCGCTGAGGTTCCACAGAGCCCGGGCTGTCTCTTCACTCTGAGCCTCTTCAGATGGCAGGCAACGGCAGCAGTTGTTGAAATACATCCCTCCAAGGCCTTCCAGCTCAGGGGCGACGGCACAGTAGACAGTGGTAGCAGCTCCCTGTTGCTGAAAAACAGAGAAGGGAGAAAAGCACTTGTTTTTAAAAACTGAGTAATGAGACAATGACATTCTGGCTATCTGGAGATAAGTGAACTGTTCTCCACTTGGACAACAGCATGGCCAAGGGCTTAACTCTGAGCACAGGACTGCACAGTATGATGTGTGATAGCCTTGGAAAGACAAGTCCATAAACTCTACTTATAAACCTGGTGAGACTTCTCACACCTCATAGAGGAAAAGGCTTGGGAAATAAAGACACATTTCAATTTATCATGCCAGATGCCATTTCAACACAAAGAAAAAGATGCTGTCCTCCCCAACATGTAAGAACAGATCCATCCAACCCTTTGACTTCTTAATGTGCAATATAATTTGACACCAAGAACTTTCTAGAACCTTCTGTCCAAAAAAGAAAAAAAGGAAAAAAAAGAACAACTGCTCTTGAATATGGCTAGTGAAATGGATGACTCAAGTGAGGCTAGTTCCAGATCATTCCTATATTCTTTGCCCAGGGTACTCTTAGGGGTAGGATGGTTGATGGTTTTACAGCACTGTTGAAATGTTTTAAAATACACACACACACACACACACACACACACACACACACACACAACACGGGGTGGGGGGTTCACACATCCCTACGCTGATATGTTTATTCACCCAGAAAACAGTTTTCTAAATGTCGTATCTGTTCTGATTTACAACAAGATATGGCCTGAGGTAGAAGGCATGTTTATTTCAGCCCATTTCAAAATGCAAGTTTCTATGAACACCACTGATCATTTCTGATCTCCTCTGGAGTAACAGTTGGGGCTGTAGCTAGGGGCGTGCTCACTGATGGGGCACCATGTCATCCCAACTGACAGAATATTGCCAGAGATGCTATAAAGAGGGCAAGAGCTCACTTTGCTTTGCAAGCCATAATTAAAAATAATAGGCTTCTGTTCATAGGGAGGCATGGTGAGCAGGGCTCTAATTTAAAGCCAGTACAGTTTATCAGCCGTCCTGTGATCATGTATGTGGAGGACAGCTCTTGACGCATCAACTCGCTATCAGCTGACGGGGAGTGGGGTTACAAACAAGGACCGGAAGCTAACCACAGATGTCACCTTCAGGAAAACAGTAGGAATGTTTGCTTGTAAGGGAGATGGCTTTCTGTCCCTACTCAAACTTAACCATTTTTTTCTGCCCCTATGGGGTTTAAATTTTGTTAGATCAGAGTGTCCATGGAAGAACATCCCCATAAATGACTAGAACCATCAGAGCTAGAGTCACTCTGAGAATCAGGATCCGAAGGGGTTTTAATTTTATCAAAGTTCCATGAAATGTATTTGGTTTTTATTTCATGCTGGTTCAGTGTCAGGGTCTGTGGTCATATATGCATTGGTCAAATGCAGCCAAGCGCCTGACTGTGGGAGAGGTATGGAGGAGTGTATGTAACAAACTTGATGTTTGATAATATCTGGCTGCTTGAGCCCACTGGCCAGGACTCACCAGTTTAGGTTTTGAAGATTTGACCAGGGATTAGAGTTTAATTGAATAGCAAATGGTCAGTAACTTCCTGAAGTCCCTTAACATGCTTCCCCACCACATAAACATAAGCAGTGAATATTTTGGATTTAGTGATTTCTTTCTCAATTGATGTCCCTTTACTGAGTTGTTGTTGCCCATCACCTTTAGCTGAGCACCCAGCATGTTTATCTAAATACCTGCCAGGGGTCATGGGGTTCCTCTCCATACTTTAAGGAGGAAGGGGCTGCCAAAGTGCCTCTAATGACTAAGCAGAACACAAGGATGACCACTCAGCTAACAAAGAGCTGAACAGCAGCATCTTGACCTCTGATCGCAACATTGTCCAGGTGGACACTGAGCTTTGAATAAACTTTGGACTATCTCTCTTGGATTTTCATTTTATTTTGTAGGTGACAAATCCAGCCAAGAATGAACACATGACTTACCACAGACTTCTAAGTGGTGGCTGAGAGAATCTAGTCAGCTCAGCTCCAAATCCTTCCCCAAGCTCTAGATGATTCTCACATCAGACAGTGGTTTTAATTTCACAACATGCTGGCCTTTCATAACTTTGCCAATCCTGAGATAAGACCAAGGGAGGCCACTCAGGAAGTGATAATTAGAGTTCTTCCAAATCTAATGTAGCATATTGCTACTGTGTCCTTCTAACCTGATGTGGTCTGTGTGCTTGCATTGTTGAAATGGTACTGTTGTGAAGAAACGTTGAAGTCACTCCAATCCAGAATCAAGCTAACTGGGGGAGTGGGAGGAGGTGTGTTTTCCCTATCTGGGATTTGCAAGTGATGGCAGCTTGTCTGGTTTCACAGAAGAGTACATTTGGTAACTATGCTGAAAGACATGCAGTTTTAAAAGCCTGGTGTTCCACACATGCTCCCTTCAACTGCTTGCCATTGGTCTTAGGGTGGTTTAAAACAAAAACTTAACTGCCAGTGCCCCCAGCTTTATAAAAGAGCACAGAACGGGCACAAAGGCCACTTTTGCCACCCCACAGGCTGATTGCATCCTTTTGGCAAAGCCTCCCAGCCTGAGCCATGCATGCTGCCCCTGGCTCTTGCTTTATCTTCTTTTCAGGACAGACAATTAAGTGCTGACAATATCTTGTTGGTTCCATGCCCACTGCCTCATGGGCTTTCCAGAGAATTTTCTTTTCAGCTGTTCCAATGGCAACCTTTGAGTGATATCTTTATACTATTAGATGTGGCAGCAGTTTAAAAAACAAGTTCCCACTCTGGGCTCATCAGCTTTTCAGCCTGAGACAGAAGCCCATCAGTGAGATCTCATTAGTAAACAAGCTTGTGCCACTGAAAGAAGATGAAACATTTTTAAACTGATAAGAAAGGTTTTGTTTTGGGGATATTTTTTGAGCACTTTAATCACCATCAAATGACTTTCTCACCACTTTGGGGAGCATCAGTACATAATTCAGAGAAGATGAAAGAGACATATAAAGGAAATAATGTTAACAACACTGGTGCAATATTTGAAGGTATGACTTGCCATTTATCAACATTGCTTTACTGGTCCATGGTGATAAAATAATAACCCATTGACAGGTGAGTGTTGGCTAGAGCTGCGGGTTCTCCCTGATCATTTTTGTTTGTTTGTTTGTTTTCCTTCAGAACAATTTGTCAGGTTGCTTATAAGTCACTCTTCACAAGAAGCTGGGAAGTAGCATCTCTAACCCACACTTATGCCATTGGGCTAAAGCGCTGATGACCTAGTACTGAGGATTTCTGGGAAGCCCAGTAGAATGTTTACTCACACCCCTATGCTATCTGGGTTCTAGTCAAATATTTGTGAATGGGCAACGTTCAACTGTGCCATCAGCTGTTACTATGTATGCAAAATTGTCTAGGGTTCTTGTTTGTAGGTTGAGCTGAGAACATCTTGGTAATAGAGGTGCATCATTTTCCTTAGGAGATCATTTTTCAGGTTTGCAAACCCATCTTCCAACTCAGAAAGCTGGGATGCAGAGGGGCTGCTGTTGGTAGTTGAGAGTCTGAGCGTTAAAGGAGCCAGCCTTCCTAAACCCATTGTTGGGACAGGAATGTTAAGTAGCCGCCCTCCATCAACATTTATTTGATAACTGCTGGCCATTGATTTGTAACCATCAGCACAGGTTACAAATGGATATTGAGTCCTTTGAAGAAAAAGGCACAGAGGTTTCTGATAAACAACTCATGGTTTAAAAACAAAACAAAACCACATATTGATATCTGTGATGCATTACTTAATACCATGATAGAATCCTCACATTCTGATAGAAACACATGCTATACAATTAATTTAGCTTTCAGGTGATTCTACTTTAATATGCATGCTTATTTGAAAGGAAGAATAGATTTCCTGTCTTAAAGTAGATGCAACAATGCATTTTAAAATAACACCCAGTATCATGGCATGTCTATTCTATATTCAAAGACTTGAAAGAGCAGTAGATGTTGGAAGTTGCTTTATTATACCATATCCATACCAGGACATTGCACGGCAAATGCTGAATTAATCAATTTATGCAAAAACTAGATTCAGGAATGGGGACATACCAAGCAAGATAGATTAGGACTGGAGCCTCAAGGGCAGGGAAGGAAGGCGGCTCTTGAGAGGTGAGCAGTGACTGCAGAGATGGATTAAAAGTGGGGTGCTGCAGTGAGATCATTACGCAAGATGAAAGCCGGGTGCATCTTCAGACCCTCAAAGCTTTTATTGATACTCATATGGGGTCTCATAGGCAAAGAATATAATTTCCAAATGTGAAACCAGCAGCCCTATAGACAGACAACGCTGAGTGGGATGATCAATCACAGCCCATGGTAGATACGAGCATCTCATCACCCTTCCACTCTCCTAGTAACAGTAACACTTCTGCAAGAGAGTTTATAAGATGTGTATCAGAAAAATGCAGCATTGCATTCTGGAGTTCATCTCCAAATATCTTGGTGTTTGGGACATAGCTGTTTTCACAACCAATTATAATTTCAACTTCTGGTTCACGAGGCAAAAACAAGCTGTTCCAAGGGGTGCTGTGTCCCCACTTACTATCCAAGAACAATATTGCCATTGGGCAAACTGACCTCATATTCCATAATATTCTGTCTGTTCACAGAGCAAAGTAGTTAGTACAGGAATTACGCTCGTGCACCTCTCTGATCAGTGGCCACAACGAAAGAATGCCTCCATTGCTATCCATACAACTGAGTTGTACACTGCTGGCTCAGGGCTTATCAATAAACATGCCAGGTTCCACCACAATGGAGGGAGGCAGAGGAAGAGAACAAAGATCTCTGCTCTCCAGTGAGTTCTAGTCAGTAGTGATTTTCCCCGTGGCTACGATGACTGACTGGCATTTGCCAGGTGCCTGAATATAGATAGCTTCATAAGCATCACTTTCTAACCCTCATGCTGCTCCATGAGCCACGGACAACTAGCATCTCCATTTTTGTAGACCCATTTAGATTCAGAGATCAAATGCAACT